ATGGATCTCTACAGCCACTATAATTGATGATTCTCAGAGCTCTTTTCTGTAAAATGAATAAGGGTTGTGTATAGTTTTTGTATGTTGCTCCCCAAATTTCTACACAATAAGTCAAGTATGGAACAATCAGTGAATTGTACAATGCCAACAAACCAGAATTAGTCAGTAACAACTTGACTCTATGTAATACTCCTAAGGATTTGGGAATTTTACCTTTTATGTAACTAATATGGGATTTCCATGTCAAGTCGTCATCAATAAGAACTCCAAGAAATTTAGTTTCTTTTACTCTTTGAATTTCAATCCCATCTATTTCCAATGACACATCACTGTTCTTTTTTATCATTAAACAGTATAAAATTAGTTTTATTAAGATAAAGTGTCAATCTATTTACATCAAACCAGATTTTAATTTTAATCAATTAATCATTTATTACTTTAGCCACCTCCTCAGTATTTGATCCTGAGTAAAACAGTGTTGTATCATCTGCAAATAGAATGGTACCAAGTGTCTTTACCAAGTTGTCAATAAACAAAATGAACAGTTCTGGTCCGAGGACCGACCCTTGTGGCGCTCCACAATTAATATCACAGATTTATGGTCTTTTATCTGAACAAACTGTTTTCTTTTTTCTAAATAAGTTTTAACCCATTGATGAGCCACACCTCTTATTCCATACTGACTTAATTTTCGAAGTAACCTTGAGTGATCAATGACGTCAAATGCTTTTTTTTTCAAAACAATGAAAACACTAACAAAGTCATTTTTATTGTCAATTGCTGTTGATATTGTATCAGTTAATTCCATTATTTCCATTGCTGTGGAATGTTTAGTTCTAAACCCATATTGTTCATTGTTTAAAATATTAATTTTTTTCGATGAATTTATCCAACCTTGATACAAATACTTTTTCCAATATTTAAGAAAACTGTGGAAGCAGTGACAACGGCCTGTAATTATTGACACTATGTTTATCACCACTCTTGTACAAAGGAATGACTTTCGCTGTTTTCATTGTGTCAGTAAAATTTCCAGTAGAAAGTGACAGATTACAAATGTAAGTGAATGGTTCAATGACAGGTTCTATGATGGTTTTAACAGTTATCAAGTCCAGGTCCTGATAATCGGTTGATCGTTTGATTCCACAGTTTTTTTACAACGTTTCGTATTTCTTCTTTATCTACTTTGTCAAGGACAACACTATTGACAGTACTAATCATTGTGGTCAGTTTATCTTCTATTATTGGTTTGTTCTCCATCAAACTCCTACCTACATTTACAAAAAAAAAAACTCATCAGTGATTTCTTTATCATCATAAATATCTTTTTTGTCCTTGACAAAGTGATTTGGAATACTGGATTTTGTTTTCTCTCTATTAGTCACACTGTTTATTATTCCCCAAGTAGCTTTTGTGTTATTTTTATTCCGATTCAATAGATTAGCATAATAATCTTTTTTTTTTGCTTCCTAATTATTGTTACCAATTTATTTTTATATTTTTATATCTATCTTCTGCTTCCCTTGTTTGCAATTAAAAAAAACTCCTTTACAAATTATTATTTTTTGCACACGCAATCTTTAATCCCTTAGTCATCCAAGGTTGATTTTCCCTTTTACCTGTAGATTTTATTAATTTGCAGTTATCATTATATGACTTCAACAGTATTTTCATGAAGGATGTGTATGCAGTGTTGACATCACCGACATATACCTCCTTCCAAATTTGGTTATTAAGATCTTTGTTTAATTCCTCCATGGCTTTAACTGATTCATCTCTTCTGTAGTTCATGGTGATGTTTTGCTTTATGGAATGTTTGTATTTGAAAACTGCAATAACAGGCAGGTGGTCACTAATATCTGTCATTAATATCCCTGTTTTTCTGACATCATCCTTATTGTTAGTGAATATGTTATCAATGATTGTTGCAGTCCGAGATGTAATTCCAGTTGGCTTGTTTATCAAGGGAAATAAACCTACACTATACAGTGAATCTGCAAAATCCTTAGTTATCTTAGTTATATTTCATTTATCCAGATCTAGCATGTCTTACTTTTGTGTTCCCTTTATCTTTTGAGCAGTGTATTTATATTACAATAGTGTGTCGTCCTGTTTGAAAAGATATTGATGGTTTAAATTTTTCAGTATATTGCCCAGACCTCCACTCAGCCACTTTTACAGATATTAAACCAGGAGTTCGAGTCATCTCCTTCATCTCCAAGCTCTACAAACTGACTGAGATCTTTGGTTAAAACATTGCTATTTCGTGTTGGAGTCAGCGCTGTCTGTTACCAAAGTGGAACCGGAAAACTGACAGTGTCAGCACTGAGTGCTGTTGGAGGATAACCCCAAAAATAGGGATTTAAGTTAAAACTTCTATAGAATCAATGAAATCAACTTTCCTCATGAAAGGAGAAAGTTTGTCTTCGTATTTCAGCGTGACTGCTTACAAAAGCAGATTTCTTATTCTGACAGAGGTCATTTACTTGCTAGCGGCGCTGTCACAGTCTTCAGGATAGCAGCGCTGCTGACCACCTATCTCTCATTGTGTTTGGGTGTCATCTTTTCGTTTGGAGCTGACAGGACTTAAACTGCTCCCTGCAGCTAAATGGCACGGTAAACCCAGGCCTGTTTGCATTGCTCTCGTTTCTTTGTTGTTTTGCCTCCTGTGACTTTAGTGAGCCTGTAAAAGATCCCTTCAGTCTCCTTTATATTTATTTTGTTTTATTCATGAAAAGGTTGCCAGAGGAAAACGGAATTGTTTACATAAACAGGCAAACCCTTTAGAGTTCATATGGTGTTGGTTTTACCTCCACAGGAAAAAATAATTTATTTTGACACATCATTTTTTATGTGTGTTCACATGCAATACCGTTTGCTTTCTAAGACTTCAGATACAGTGTGCCATATGGTAAAAATGACATTATGCTAGTACAGCCATGCTGGTGAGCCACTGAAACCACGTGTTCTCTGTTTAGGGGTGTTACACCTGAAAGGTATGGAGGGTATCGTGCTTCTGGAGTTGCGTGTGAGTGTTTTCCACTCAGAATTACAAGCATGCATTTCAAAGCTCGTGTGTGAAGACCCTGCATCACCTTCCTGTGTAAGGACAGACACAGGAACTCAGAGAGATGCCATTCACCCTGACACAAAGCTGTCCCTAATCTACATATCCTTATGATAATATTGCTCCGGGATATTTCAAGAATAAACATGAGCATTGATAGGGATGAGATGGGAATTTAGGTGTTTGCTGTTAAATCCGGTGTTTTTTTTTTCCAGTCCAGGGATTTGCAGGGTGGCAGCTTAAGTGGTAATCGGATTGAAAGGATCCAGTTTCTGATTTTTATTCCTGTTCTGTTTTTTAAACGATAGACTGTCTGTGAAAGACGAGCTAGGGTCAAAACCTCAGGTAGCAAAACAAACTCTGTAGTAAAGTGTTGTAAATGCGTCTTATTACACATCACCTGGTAGTAGGTACATTGATTAGTTCAGAGAAATGTCACTATGTTTATTGATAAAGAAAAACCCTGAAAGGAGAAGAATCGTCTGCCCAAATAATTCCACGCTTTACATGTGGCTTTGTAACATTTCAAGGTTTTTGGGATATCTGGTGCCAAAAAGGGCAAGGAAGACTCTTCTCTCTAAGAAAACCATCAGGGAAAGACTGACGTTCTGATACAGGTCTAGGGATTGGACTGCTGAGGACTGGAGGAAGGCCGTTTTCTCTGGTTTATCATCTTTTTTTTTTTTTTTGGAACTTCTGGAAAATGATCTGAGACCAGTGGAGTTGGTGGGTGGGGTGGGGGGTGGGGGGTGCCTCAGGAACGCCATGAATAAAAATGGTACCAAAACATCCTCCCAGAGGAACTCCTCACTCCGTCCAACAACAGTTTGGTGATGATTAAAGCCTTCTCCAGCATTACGGAGCACCAGGCCAGAAGGATAAAGTCAGGACTAAGTGGATCAGGAACAAAACAACATGTTGGTTCAGGTCCAGGAATCTCCACTGACCTTAATACCACTAAGAACTTGTGGGCCAACCTCCAGAGGCAGGAGGACAAACATCTAAAAACTTTGAAGCAGCAAATCTTGTTCAAGCCAACACTAGAGTAATATTCAACACAACTGGTCAGCCAAGTCATCAAGTCAGGTCATTTGTACCAGATATGGCTCCAGTTGTGGATCTTTACTACAAACTACATGGAAACAGTTATGTCTCACTTAATGTGAGACTTCTCTTTTTTTTTCCACAGACCTAAATATGGTTTATTTATTAAATATGTTCTTCACTTCATGAGATTATTCTATTTTCTAGTTTCCCAATGACCATGCCTTACCCTACTGCTCTCCTTTGGTGATTGTTACATTTTCTGCCCTAGTTTTTGTTGAGCTGGTTGATGGAACTGTGGTTTGATTGTGTAATTCTACAACAACTGAATAAGTGAGCTCTGGGATGTCTGAAGCTTCATTTATCACTGTAATTACAACAGTAATAGAGTAATTAGCAACAGAAGACAAATGAAAGTGTACCATCCTCATGACCTCAGGGGATACGCTGTTGCAAAGTTCCTGGGCTGGTGAGCTTTTCTCTGGTTGTGCTGATATAAAGGTCCTCTACAGAAAGGAGGCCTTTTCTGAATAGATACTGCATCTTTCAAACATAAACATCCTGTGTTTCTGTCTTAAAACAATATTAGATTGATAGAAATGGGTCAACAGTCCATTTAGATGAAAATGCTCTTTTAGTTGTAGAGCACATTGCTGCACACCTGGTTTCTCACATATCCTCACTGATGATTCAGACACAAAGGAAGCTTTAAAACGGTGGATTTGTGCTTCAGCTGCAGCTTAAACAATGCTACCCCCAAGTGGTGCCACTAAAGAAGCGCCAGTGAGAGTTGCTCACCTCTGTCTGTGTGTGTGTGTGTGTGTGTGTGTGCGTGCGTGCGTGCGCGCGCGCGCGTGCGTGCATGTGTGTGTGTGTGTGTGTGTGGCAGGTCTGCTGGGTATGGTGGCCCACATGATGTTTACCACAGCCTTCCAGCTGACCGTCAGTCTTGGACCGGAGAACTGGAAACCTCAGACGTGGGATTACAGCTGGTCCTACATGTGAGTGCCCCTCCTCTTCACCTCCCCCTCCCTTTGTGAGACGTATTACCAGCTGTGGGCATGGCTGTGTTCTACTAAAACCTGATTAAGCACAAGACAAGCTGTAGGACAACTAAATATAGCAAACAACAGGATGTCTATTTATAATGCAGAGACCTAATTCATTAAAGCTGCAGGAAAACACCAACGCTAAAGGTGTTGTTTAAGTGTTGTTGACAAAACTGTCATGGCTGTCTGCAGACATAAAACAGACACTTGGAGTCGAAGCGGGAACAGTCAGATACAGGTGCACTAGCCAACACTTGTCCGTATGAGCGTGACCGTCAGAAACCTGAGAACTAACCTGAAAAGGAAGTAAGTCACCACATACCTTTCAGGCTGAAGTGGTTCTAAACACACCCTGTTATAGACCTTTAGGGCCCCTCCTCTTCTGAGAAGGATTAAAACATCTTCTGGGCTCAGAAGCAGCTGCTTGATTTGCCTTGTCCACCATTTTCCACAGTGCCGAGTTGATCTGTTTACCGTATTTGGACACTCACAATAGTGCCCTCTATCGGCTGGTAGATGCAAATGTAAGCAAAGTGTTTTTAATTAAAATACAGCTTTTAAAGAAAATACTGTAGCTTCATTCTGCACACATCGACACTCCCGAGCAGGCAGTGTTGGGAAAGTTTGTTTAAAAAACAAACTAATTAAAAAAAATTGAACTAAGTTCACTGTTCCAAAAACAAACTAGTTCATAGTTCTTGTCCATTCCAGAATGGAGAGGCAGTGCTCGTTAAACTGAGAAGTTAAGGAATCTGGGTCGTCATCAGAAGAACAGGGTGAATCAAAGCAGCGGAAAAATTGCTAGCTGTGCTCTCATTAAGAAAACAAGAACTAACCATACGGCGAGCAGGAGGTGGGGACTCAGAAACTGACAAGTTAAAGAAAATGCAATGGAGATCTGAAATATAAACGTCCTTAGGACAAACACTGTCAGCATTTAGGCCCAGGGTAAAAACAAGGTCTAAGTGTGTGTCCCCTGGAGTGTGTGGGGCCAGAAACATGCTGGGTAAAGCTGAAGGCATCCATGAGTTTAGAGAAGGCCATGGCAAAATGGTCTGAGGCATCATCAACATGAATGTTAAAATCACCAACAATCACCAGTCTGGAGATCTTCACAGTGGTGGATAAAAAGTCACTAAACTCCTGCAGGAAAGAACTGTTTGGACCAGGTGGACGATAGACAGTAGAACACAGCACAGTAGAACGGGTCCTTACCTGGCCTTGAGTAACTAGAAAGATGACGGGAGATCTCCCCACCTATGGGAGTTATTCAGACCTTGATTTAACCTTCTTTCACATGTCTGTGAACTGACTCTTGGAAGATCCATGCTCAGACATATGTTCTTGTTTGTGATGAATAAATATCAGCACCAGTGCACTGAAAGTGATTTCTTAGTCTGTTTAAAGGTTTTCTTGAAGTTAAAGTGAGTGTCTCTTCACTAGAGAGAGGTCACAGGAGGTGAACAGCATGTTCACCACAGTCACCAGATGCTGACAAGAGAGGAGAGGTTTTGCAGAGCTGGGTGCAAACTCATTTTATGCAGCTACATGGCCTTGCTGATGGGTTTTATTTTTGGTGTTTTTCTCTAGTTTGGCATGGAGCTCCTTCACGGCATGCATGGCTTCCTCAGTCACCACCATCAACCGCTACACCAAAACCATCCTGGAGTTCAAACACAAGCGCAGGAACATTGAGAAGAACCTGAAAATCAAGCAGAAGCTGTTGGAACTGGACTCTCCGGAGCAGGTGTGGGACATGTACATCAGCTCGGTGCCTAGCGCTGCTGAAGAGCTACTGGACCTGTCGACAAATGGTCGCAAACTCTCCAACGCCTCCATTTTTCTGGACCTCAATGACTTACCCGATCCACAGAGAGAGGAGTACTGCTAGACGAGTGCCGTGTTGTGCTGCAATGGGAAAACTGCAACCAACTCCATTGTTTTATTTCGTTCAATTGTTTGCTCAGCTTTTGTTACTGTGTTTACTACCAGCCCCTCAAATAGGACTTTAGCTTGTTGGTGGTTTCGGTGACCAGCTACCAGGAGACAGAAAATCCTTGAAGCACCAAAACAAAAAGTGTTTTCTCCTAATAACCATCATGCCCATTACTACCAGATGACGATGCCATCATAGGCTGGGCTCTTGAAACTCTAAGATACATGTGGAGTTGTAGTTCTGAGTACACCAGTCACTCATCACAAGCATGAAGACCAGGTGAACTTCGGACTTTAGACCATTTTTTTCTAAAGGAAGTGATACATACTTCAATCCTTTTTAAAAACACAAAATGGGTTCAGTTTTTAACCTAGTGTTTGGCTAAATTTCACTACCAGTTGTGTTGAGGTCTTTAGTTCTTAGTGAAGTCCATCCCAGAATCCTAACGTCAGTCTGCTTTATCCAGTCAGAAACCAGCTGTGATGTTTTGTTCATTTTCCTAATGGAAAATCCAACTGGGTTCAAGTTTCACCCATGATGATCTCAGGTGGAGTTGAAGAACCTTCATTATTCCACTTTGTGCACCAGAACCACATCATGATGCTGACACCTCCATGCTTGATAACCGGTTCTGTGTTCTTGGGTCTGAGCCTCACCGTGACTCCTCCATACAGACTTCTGGTCAATGTGGACAAACAGCTCCATCTTTGTTTTGTCCAACTATAAAATGTTTCTTCAGAACACATTTGTCTTCCCCATGAGGACAGCTGCAGGTTAGGGTCCAGTGTGAGGGTGTCTTCTGGATCAGGAACTTCTTTCTTGGACTTCTTACTCCATGCGATTCTGATCATCCATTTGTTTTGATTTTCAGACTTTTGTTGACATCTAAATAACTTAGTATCATTCATTCTCATAATGTTAACCCTTCTGACCTCAACCTTTTACAGCTTTTCTATCAAATTTAATAATTTTCCTGAAGAAGGGCCAGCTGACCAGGAACCACAAAAGGCTATTCTAAACTATTAGTTTAATATTTTGCCTTTGTTATGATGAACTGTGATTTAAATGGTCATAACTCCTCACCAGTGGAGAAATATCACTTTTAGTCATTTGGCATTGTTTTGTTGCACTTTAGTGTAAGCTGAAACACCAACGCTGAGAGTAAATGTGATTAATTTATAAAGTCCAGTTCTGAGGTGGTGGTGAATTTTCTTCTTTCTGTAAAAACAACTAAATAAAAATTAGACGTAGGCTCTGTCAAGTGGTATATTTGTTTAATTATACAAACATTTATACATTGATTCATGAAACTAGGATAGAATAATAATGTTCAGCAGAAGTATGGAGGCTAATTTGGATTATCAGACATTGATAATATATATATAACATGTATTTATTGTTGGGTCTGATGTCTGAATTATTCTGAAACTAAAAAAATGAAGTTCTTTAAACTAAAAGTGGAGATGAGAACACAAAGTACCTCCAAACTCTTTAAGAATGACTAAATACAGTCTGCATCACCTAACAAAGATAACATGCTGTCAGCTAAACAGGTTCAGAGTCGAAGGAAAGTTTTTTTTTTTTGTTTCATTACAACAAAAATCTGGCATATAAACAAGATGTAATGTACGTAATGTTTTGCTGTGTCAGCACTGGAAACATTTTCTGAAAAGTTCTGAATGTGATTTTGAAACTCTTCAGGTGCTTTGTTACTTGTGTCTTTGCTTTGCTGCTTGGTTACCGCAACCCAGGCTGTTTATTTCTGATGCAGGTTGAAAACAAGAAGAGGATTCCACGCTGACCCTGACACGTTTACAGTCTGGTGGAGATGCCTCACAAGTTCATTCCTGTGGTGTTTTTCTGTGTAAAAGTTATAAAGAATTACTGCAGATTCAATTGAATCGTTGAAATCCTTTTTGTTTACAAGGGTCCACTAATCCCAAAAGGCAAGAAATAAACAATAATAATAATAATAATAATAATAATAATAATAAATGGGCACTTAAGCCACCAAACCAAATCTCAGGCCTTAAGAAGTTGAAATTGCTCCAGTCTCCTAAATGTTCCTGAGATTCATGCATTCATAGATTTAATATAACCCTCACTCTGCCTCCAGATTCACATTGTGAGGTTATTTCAGCAGAATTCTTCTGAAATTCCTGCTGGAACGTTTGTAATGAGCTCGTCAGTGCTGCTGTATCGATCATTTATGATAAGCTCTGTGATGTCATCTTTGCATAGCACAGAAACGCGCTTCACGTAAAAATGGCTGAAAGAACCTTTGAGGAGCTACAAACGAAGCCCGATTCTCCTCTTCCTCACTGCCAACTCACCATCAAACATTCAAGAAGCTGATTGGTGGATAGGACCCACTGACGTCAGTTGTAGATATGCATTGTTGGACAGCCTGGTGATGAAGGCCAGGTACTTCCTGTATGCTGAAGTGATGTTGCTCTGGCAAGTTGCCAAGTCTCATATGGACAGCACCTCTTCTGAAGCTGTCTGTGTGTGTTTATGCACTGTCTACGGGAGTTTAAGTGCATTCAGAAAATGCTTCTGTACATAATTGTTACATGTCAGTGAAACTCCTGTTGAATCTGCTTGATTTTTATTTAATATTTTTTAACCAACCTGGGTTCTAGTGACGCATGAGTCTGTTGGTCTTTATCTGTTCATCCTCTCTTAATGTCTCCTTCTAGTATTCTTTGGTTACTACTTATCTGCAACTGATCAAAGTGAAACAGATTTTAAAAAATTCTCAAATGTTACATTTAAATAAAAACTAAAGCATACAACACAATAACATAGTTTTGGCTCGTCTGCTGGTTTTCTTTTTGTGTTGATGGCCACTAGAGGGCAGTGTTATGGTAGATATGGGTCACCGGATTGTTGGACTGATTCTTATAGATTAATTATTGAATTTCCATGAATAAAGACAAGAATGTTTTAATAATAACTAACAAAGTTACTCAGAGTCTAATGAAACACTCCAGCTTAAGAATGTCATGAAATTAAAGTAATTCACATGATTAAAGGTGTAGATTACTGGAAACATTTTTTAATGAATACTTTTGATTGGTGACTTGTTATCCTACCCACCTGATTCCTGTTTACCCGCATGTATTCTGATTACCTCATGTATTCATGTCTTCTGATTAGCCTCGTGTATTCTGATTACCCTCATGTATTCATGTGTTCTGATTACTCTCGTGTATTCTGATTACCCTCATGTATTCTGATTACCCTCATGTGTTCTGATTACCCTAATGTATTCTGATTACACTGGTGTATTTTGATTACCCTCTTGTATGGGCTGCATGGTGGCGCAGTTGTTAGCACTGTTGCCTCGCAGCACGAAGGTTGCAAGTTTGAAACTCGGTTGTGACCTTTCTGCGTGGAGTTACGTGTTCTCCCCATGCATGCGTGGGTTTCCTCCGGGTACTCCGGTTTCCCCCACAGATCACAACATGCCCTATAGGTTATAAACTGTAAGTCGCTTTGGATAAAAGCGTCTGCCAAATAAATAAACATAAACATGTGTTCTGATTACCCTCGTGTATTCTGATTACCCTCATGTATTGTGATTACCCTCTTGTGTTCTGATTACCCTCATGTGTTCTGATTACCCTCTTGTATTCTGATTACCCTCATGTGTTCTGATTACCCTCGTGTATTCTGATTACCCTCACGTATTTTGATTACCCTCATGTGTTCTGATTACCCTCTTGTATTCTGGTTACCCTCGTGTATTCTGATTACCCTCATGTGTTCTGATTACCCTCGTGTATTCTGATTACCCTAACGTATTTTGATTACCCTCATGTGTTCTGATTACCTTCATTTATTCTGATTACTCTCATGTGTTTTGATTACCCTCATGTATTTTGATTACCCTTGTGTATTCTGATTACCCTCATGTATTCTGATTACCCTCTTGTATTCTGATTACCCTCATGTGTTCTGATTACCTTCATGTATTCTGATTGCCCTCTTGTATTTTGATTATCCTCGTGTATTCTGATTACCCTCATGTATTCTGATTACCCTCATGTGTTCTGATTACCCTCGTGTATTCTGATTACCTTCAAGTATTTTGATTACCCTCATGTGTTCTGATTACCTTCATGTATTCTGATTACCCTCATGTGTTCTGATTACCTTCATGTATTCTGATTGCCCTCTTGTATTCTGATTACCCTCTTGTATTCTGATTACCCTCATGTGTTCTGATTACCCTCATGTATTTTGATTACCCTCGTGTATTCTGATTACCCTCATGTATTCTGATTACCCTCTTGCATTCTGATTACCCTCATGTGTTCTGATTACCTTCATGTATTCTGATTGCCCTCTTGTATTCTGATTACCCTGTTGTATTCTGATTACCCTCATGAATTTTGATTACCCTCATGTGTTCTGATTACCCTCGTGTATTCTAACTACCTTCATGTGTTCTGAATTCCCTCATGTGTTCTGATTACCTACATGTATTCTGATTACCCTCATGTGTTCTGATTACCCTCGTGTATTCTGATTACCCTCATGTATTTTGATTACCCTCTTGTATTCTGATTACACCAGTGTATTTTGATTACCCTCATGTATTCTGATTACCTTCTGTTTGTGCTTGTCTTTTGTCAGACCTTCGTCTTGTCCTGCTGTATCATCCACCTTTATTTATATTAAACAGGTCTTTACCTACCATTCTGCCTCTCGTTCCTGCTCACCTGCGTTTGGGTCCTATTGCAACAACTCAACATCATGACGAGTAGAAGCTAATGTTACCATTAGCAACTCCATCACACAGCAGAACTCCTCCAGCTCAACTCTAGCATGCTGCTAGTTCCTGAAAAAGGCACAAAAGAACTTTGTTTCCCCAGAGTATGACTTACAAGGCACTCATCCGTGCTAGAGACCTCTGCAAATGTTGATTGAAGGAGAGTTCCACACCTTTAATGGAAGAAAAATGGGCTATTTGTTTGCAAATATATATATGAGAACGACCCCGGTGTTGGTTTCCACAGTTTGTTACTTCATTCCAGTACTTTTCTTAATAGTTAAAGTTTTTGCAAAAAGGTCAATATGTACAGTGTTGGTCCTTCCAGGCTTCTGTAGTTCACCCAGAGCTGCTGTCAGTCATCCTGACTGATGGAGCATTCTTCATCATCAGTTCTCTGTGGGGTTTTGTTTGAGACACAGACACACACACACACACACACACACACACACACACACACTGGATGCTTTACTCCTAAAATGGCTTCTTTGCTGCCCTTCTTGACACCAGACCTACAGAGGCCTTCACATACCTGCCCCATTCACACAGCATGATCAACCTTTAGGAGATGGTTCTGGTACTGCTGGATTAATTCTGAAGCATTCTGAACAAATGCAGAAAAGATGAGTGGGTGGGGGAATTCAATTCCTATTGGTGTAATGTCTGTAAACTGACGTATTATAAACTGCTGTAGTATTTTTCTCATTCTCAAACCTTCAGGTCAGGTCTCTGTCATTAGTAGATCTATGTTCTCTCATGGATCATTACATATCAGGAGATCATAAAACATTAGAAAAATGGTCTTTGCTTAAAAATAATTTTATTTTTATTTTAAACTAGTGCAAACACATGCAAACGGAAAACATAGGAAGATCCAAACATTTGAGTAGAACCATGAATGCTTCAGACAAGGTTAATGATTGGTCAGACTTCCCTGTAATAATTTTTAGTTTTTAATCTTGTTCTCCTCATATGCTCCCATTCCTGTCCTTAAAGCAGGGTCTGGATTTACCACTGGATGCTAACCTTAGCACAGCATACAAAGGACCCAAGTGATCTACACCAGCTCCTCCTACATCCATTTAAGCACATTCATTATTCAGGAATACAAACCACTCAGGCAGATCTGAGCGCATAAAAAGACTCTCTTCCTCACCACATGAAAGTGTCATCACCCTTCCTGGATGCAACACTTGCAGGACAGTTCTTTTTGTGAATGCTCTGACTGGGTCTGACTCAGGCTGAAAATCAAACAGGTGAATTTAAATAAGCAAATTCAAGCATGTGATGACGCAGGAATTTCCGGGTTCCTTGATTGTGAGTCAGGATTAAATTGCTAAAAGCTACTCGGTTGTCACCCCTCATTACAACCTCACCCTCATTGCAAAGTCTACAACAAAATATTTTAATGAACCATATTGTACAAGTGAACATGTTATTTTTCACGTATTTGATCGAGATGATCGATTGGCTCAATGGCTTGGATAAATTGTGACGGACGTGGGTCTGATGCCCATGAGATGCTGCTTGGCTGGTCAGAGGCATGATTGGCTCTCTGAGTGTATTCTCACTCAGTTAGAAGGAAGATTCACATGGATTTGCATCAACAAGCTTCTTGCTCTGCACTTAAAGATTACTTCCATCCAAAGTCCTGTCCAACCATTTGATAGAAGCGCTGATTGTGAGGCTTGTAGAACTGCCTAAGCCTTAGAACCACCTTTGGGTTTATGGAGACATGTGCCCGTCCTTTTGTCTTCCCGAGGCAGTGAGGCTTACTGCTGCCCTCTGGCTTCTTCAGGCATGGGAAGCCTTTGGTTTTGTTGAAGTAGAAGTGCTTGTCCGTAACTATCCTCTGAAGTCCTAGAAAGTCCTGGACTTTACCAAGTTCTCCAGCCGGGTCTAAGATGAGCCTCTCTCCACTGACAAGATGGATCTGAGTCCGTGGAAAGCATGCCAACCAGTGTTCCATGTGCTGGGCATACAAGCCAATCCACAGCGGACTCCACAGGGAGTCAATCAGACCTAGAGGCAAAGGTAGCAAATACACAGAAATCAGCAAAGGTCCTCATTTAATTTGTCATTTGGGTTTTCACTGAGACAATCCAACCATTAAGCACACTGATTATCATTTAATAACACTCAAACACCAAGGTCTCGGTTTAAGGGGACATATTTAGAAAATCTCCCATTTTGCATCCTTTAGTGGTTCTCAACCTGTGTTCCGCTCAAGATTACAGGGGTCCCCACAATTTTGTCTGTGCTGAGGTTGTGAGGTTATCAAGAGTGTGTTTGTAAAGTTTACATTTATAAAATCCCAATGACACAGCCAGTAGTAAAATCAAAGCTTTGTAAGAGCTATACCATGAGCTCACCACTCGTGGGAGGGAAAAAAAGGGGTCAAGTGCATTGTGTGTTGGGCGGTAGCCGAAGGCAGGGACTTTGGCAGTCTGATTCTCGACTTCAAAAACAAGCTCTTGGTATGTGGAATGTCACCTCTGGTGGGGAAAGACCCGGAGTTGGTGGTTGAGGTTGAGAGGTTCTGGCTAGATATAGTTGGACTCACCTCAATGCATGGCTCTGGCTCTAGAACCAGTTTCCTTGAAAGCGGTTGGACTTTCTACCACTCTGGAGTTGCTCCCACTAAGAGGTGCCGAGCAGGGGTGGGCATACTTGTTGCCCACCATCCTGGTGCCTGTACATTGGGGTTTACCCCGGTGAACAAGAGGGCAGCCTCCCTCCACCTTCGTGTGAGGGGACTGGTCTGTAATTTGTGCTTATGCACCAAACTACAGTTCAGACTACCCACGCTTTTTGGAGTCCTTGAAGGGGGTGCTGGAGAGAGTTCCTTCGAGTGACTCCCTGGTTATGCTGGGAGACTTTAACGCTCGTGTGGGCAATGACAGTGAGACCTGGAGAGATGTGGTTGGGAGCAACAGCCCCCCATTCTGAATTGGAGCGGCGTTTTGTTACTGCACTTCTGTGCAAGTCATGGATTGTCCATAACAAACACCATGTTCAATCATAAAGATATCCATATGTGCTCTTGGCACCAGGATACCTTAAGCCACAGTTAGATGATTGACTTTGTTGTCATTTCATCTGATCTGCCACCACATGTCTTGAACACTTGGGTAAAGAGAGGGGCGGAGCTATCAACTGACCACGACCTGGTGGTGAGTTGGCTTCGATGGTGGGGAGGAAGCCGGTCAGACCTGGCAGGCCCAAACATATTGTGAGGGTCTGCTGGGAACGTTTGGATGAGTCTCCTGTAAGGAGCTTCAATTTCCACCTCCGACAGAAATTCAAACACGTCCTGAGGGAAGCGGGGGACGTTGAGTCAGAGTGGGCCATGTTCCGTGCTTCTAATGTTGAGGCGGCTGACCGGAGCTGCGGCCGCAGGGTTGTCGGTGTCTATTGTGGTGGCAATCCCTGAGCCTGTTGGTGGACACCAGCGGTTAGGGATGCTGTCAAGCAGAAGAAAGAGAGTTTTGTGAGACCATGGAGCAAGACTTCTGTATGGCTTCGAGGAGATTTTGGTAGACCATCCGGCATCTCAGGAGGGGAAAGCAGAGCGCTACCAACACTGTTTACAGTGGTGGCAGTGTGCTGCTGACCTTTACTCAGGATGCTGTGGATCAGTGGACAAAATACTACGAAGATTTCCTCAATTCCACTGGAGGGTGCGTGGGAGTTGCCCAACCAATCTACATGTGTTTTGTGGATTTGGAGAAGGCGTTCAACCACGTCCCCCGAAGGACCCTGTGAGTATGGGGTACCAGGCCCTTTGATAAGGGCTGTTAGGTCACAGTATGATGGGGGTTAGAGCTTGGTCTGCATTGCCAGCAGTAAGTACAACTTGTTTCCAGTGAGAGTTGGATTTTGCCAAAGCTGCCATTTATCACAGATTCTGTTCATAACTTTTATGGACAGGATTTCTAGGCTCAGCCAAGGTGATGAAGGGATCCGTTTTGGTGGCCTAAGGATTAGGTCTCTGCTTTTTGCAGATGATGTGGTCCTGTTGGCTTCATCGAACAGTGATCTCCAGCTTTCGCTGGAGCAGTTCATAGCTGAGTGTGAAGTGGCTGGGATGAGAATAAGCTCCTCTAAATCCAATACCATGGTCTTAAATCTGAAAAGGGTAGAATGCCTTCTCCAGGAGAAGTTTAAGTATCTCAGGGTCTTGTTCACGAGTGAGGAAAAAAAGGAGCTTGAGATCGATAGGTGGATTGGTGCTGTGTCTGCTGTTATGTGGGCACTGTACCGATCTTTCATGGTGAAGAGAGAGCTGAGACAGAAGGCAAAGCTCTCAATGTACCAGTCATCTACGTTCCTACCCTCACTTATGGTCACGAGCTTTGGGTAGTGACTGAAAGAATGAGATTGCAGATACTAATGGCCAAAATGAGTTTTCTCGGCAGGGTGGCTGAGCTCTCCGTTAGAGATAGGGTGAGAAGCTCAGTCAACCGGGAGGGGCTCGGAGTAGACCCGCTGCTCCTCTACGTCGAGAGAAGCCAGTTGAGGTGACTCGGGCGTCTGGTCAGGATGCCTCCTGAATGCCTCCCTAGTGAGGTTTTTTGGGCAGACCCAAGGAAAGACCCAGGACACGTTGGAGGGACTATGTCTCTCGGCTGGCCAGGGAATGCCTTGGGATTCCCCCAGAAGAGCTGGCCCAAGTAGCTGGGGAGAAGTCTGGAAATCTCAGCCTAGGCTGCTGCCCCCACGACCTGACTCTGGATAAGAGGTTGAAAATGGATGGATGGACAGATGGATTGAAGAGCTATATCTATGTATATAAAGCTTTGAAATGATCACTTTTAATGTGAGTATGCAGGTAGCAGTTGTGTTTGGGCTCCTGGGTTGTCCTTGGGATCTAATGCTTTAGTGCTGCCATGTGGCTCGCTGTAGTCATCTTTGGTGTGTTCTTACTGTGTCTAGTTTCTAATTCCACTTTTGTTTCTTTTTAAAACACAGAAAAGGTTTTTCTTTATCTTGCTAACGTTTCATTTGCCTCACAGCAGATGACATAGCACAACTGATAGGACTGGTAGATAACTCCACTTACTTCACACATGATGACACAATATACAAACAACTGGAAGGCTTCGCCATGGGTAACCCATTATCAGCCACCCTGTGCCAGCTTTTCATGGAAGACCTTCAACAAAAAGCCATAGCCTACAAACGGTAGCTGGTTTCAGCTAAAGTGCTTATAAAACCCCTAAAACCAGGAAAGACCAGCTGGGGCCAGTAAAGAGCTCTAAAGCTCAGTGTAGCTCATAAAGCTTTACACAAAGGGAATTTAACCCACTAATAAAGTTTCTTACGGACAAAAGTGCTCTGACGCTCTGAATGGAGAGCACCAGACAGAATCTGACACCCTCCTCGAACGGGTGACAAGCATGAGTCTTTAAAGGCAGTTCGTTAAGCGCTGATCCGCTTCAGCTGGGCCGGTGAGGATCCACGGCGTGCAGCTCTCCACAGTGCTGAACCAGCCGGGCGTGGCTGAAGCGCTGCTCTCCAGGGTGCTGATTCTCCGTGCGGTAAAAACAGACGACTGAAGAGATATGGGGCCGCTGGACCTCCGCAGGACGGGACAGCTAGAAATAGGGATCGTAACACCTGCGGATACCCGACATGGGCAATAAACAAAGGAAAACAACAAACAACAACAGAAAGAAAAGAACAACCAAAGCAAAGAACCAGAAACCCAGAAAGACAAGAACCAAAACCAGTGATAACCCTACCGTTTATCAAAGGCATAACAGAAAAAATAACGGCAACAATGAAAAAACACAACATAAACACACCAACAAAACCATACACAACAGTTAGAAACAGACTAGTGCACCCAAAAAACAAGATACCAGCTGGACATGAATGTGGAGTCGTTTAGGAAATCCCATGCAAACTCTGCAATAAAACATACATAGGAGAAACCGGACGCCAACTCAACACACGAACAATAGAACATAGAAAGGAGTGTGAGAAAGAAACAAGTCGAAAACACACAAGAGCAGCAAAAGAAGAAGCAGAAAGCACAATAAAGAAGTCAGCCGTATCAGATCACTGCACAAGAGAAAACCATATAATGGACTGGGACAACACAAGGATCATAAACATTGAACTACAGAAATACAAAAGATGGATTAAAGAAGCTATCGCGATAAGGAGACGTGGATGTGGGACCATGAACAGAGACGATGGGGTCTACACATTGGATCGTGCATGGGACTGCATCATCAGAGAGGAGCGAGCGGGAAGCAGAGGTCAACAACGTCCTCTGCTGCCCGCGGATAAACGGAGTAGGAAGTGACGCCACCATCAGCGTCAGCTCTGAGGATGTTTGCAGTTGGCAAACGAAACATTAGCAAGGTAAAAAAAAACTTTCATGTGTTTAAAAAAGAACCAAAAATGGAATTGGCTCTCTATAGTGCTATAAACCTTTCAGATGTGGCGTAAATAGTCGGGTTTTGGTGTCAGGAATAAGAAGATATAACATGATTCCTCAAAGTGACATCACAATAGGGAGATTTTGCATATGCAGTGCCTAGATGGTAAATGGCCTGTATTTGATATAGCGTCTTCTATTGCTACATCGTAACTCATCCCCACCAGCGTGTGAAAGTGTGTGTGAATGAGTGAATGACTGACTGTGTTGTAAAGCGCCTTAGGGGGTTCCAGGACTCTAGAAGGCATTATATCACAAACAGGCCATTTACTTTTTATTTTCTGCTACAACTGCAAACTGCATGACTGGTGTTTTCTGGTTCCTGTGCAGTTATTAGAATGCCATGTGATCAGCTGCACTGATGGACCTGGCCCCAATAAAAGTTAGTGATCCATAACTAAGCTTCAGCTGATGAGAAATACTGGATATTTAATGGGTCCCTGCTGCTTCATTTCATACCTTTTATTTACTGAGTGTTATCAAATGGTTAGCCATGTGACTGCTAATGTACCTGTAGTGTGGTTTTTGAAAGCCAGGCTCTCAAACGAGGGAATGTTGGGGGCCTTTGAGATGATCTGTGTGTAGTCAGAAATGGCTCGAGTCACGGGGTCACGAACAACCACAATCAGCTTCACATCGGGCGACATGGAGTGGACTCTCTGGGGTGTGTCCACTGTAACAAAGTAACGAGGCGTCTTCTCCATGACTATCTGGCCTTCAAGTGCTTTGGGCATCATACTCCTGAAAGGAAACCAAAACAACTTGGCATGAAAACAAATCGCATGCTCTGTAATTGAAATGAGAGATCATTAGAAATACAGATGTGGTTGGTTTTATAAAACAGGTCTGGTACCAATTTCCCTCTGGGATTAATAAAGTATTTTTGAATTGAATTGTATACTCATAACTAACATGACTCAGTTTAGCATCTCAAACATCGACAGGAAGACCCTTCCATCAGACTCTAGCTTAAAGTCAGGTAAACTTGTAGGATGTTGATCAGGACAGATCCATAGCAGAAGGGGTTTAAATCACATCTAGTCTTTTGGTGACTATGAGATTAATAACTGCACCAAAAGGGCAACACTGAGCGGACCTCGCACAGGAAGGCTGTTGTAGCAGGAGGCTGCAGACGTTGCATTCCAGGATGGAGCACAGATATGTGTCATGCTCTGTTTCTCAGCACAGCCTCAAGACCGTGGAGAAGACTCCAGGAGAAAAACGATAACTAGTAGCGCTGGACAGGTCCATCAAAGGTCCGTGACCCATCAGCAGAACTTAGATCTGCTCCTGAATCAAAGACGAACAGGATACGTCCTGCTAGTCCTTCAAAGGGACCTCCATGGGATACTGGAACAATGGAGATGTCATGTTTTCAAAGTGTTACTTATTCTTGTTGAGAAGTGAACATAAAGATCCATTTAAAGGTTATATTATTTTCACACGGTGTATCTGTGTTTGTGACCGTTTGTTTTCTGAGTTAAGGGTCCAAGAAGGGTTAAAAGAGCAGCTTCAACATTTTTCTGCTTTTTGTGAAAACAAAAAAAAAACCACTTAAACCAAAATTAGAATATCACATAAAGTTGATTTATTTCAGGAATTTCAGACCAATGCAAAAAAGGAATTTTAGAAATGTTGGACAACTGAAAAGCATGAGCATGTACAGAGCTCAATACTTGGCCTGGATTACTGCAGCAATGCAGCGTGGCGTGGAGTCCATCCATCTGTGGCACGGCTCAGGTGTTATGAGAGCCCATGCTGCTCTGACTGTGGCCTTCAGCTCTTCTGAACTGTTGGGTCTGGTGTATTGCATCTTCCTCTTCGTAGGTCAGGCCAGTTTGCTGGCCAGTCAAGAACAGGCATACCATGGTCCTTAAACCAGGTACTGGTAGCTTTGGCACCGTGTGCAGGTGCCAAGTCTTGTTGAAAAAGGAAATCTGCATCTCCATAAAGTTGGTCAGCAGCAGGAAGCATGAAGTGCTCTAAAACGTCCTGGTAGATGGCTGCGGTGACCTTTGACCTTAGAAAACATAATGGACCCACTCCAGCAGATGACATGACACCCCAAACCATCACAGACTGGAAACTTTACACTGGACCTCAAGCAACGTGGATTTTGTTCCTCTCCTCTCTTCCTCCAGACTCTTTTCATTCTTTGGACAACTGTAAAGTCAGCAGCCTTCCCCATGATTGTGTAGCCTACAGAACTAGACTGAGAGACCACATAAAGGCCTCTGCAGGTGTTTTTAGTTAATGAGCTGATTAGAGTGTGGCACGAGGGGTCTTCTATATTGAACCTTTTCACTATATTCTAATATTTTGAAATACTGAAATTGGTATTTTCATTAGTTGTCAGTTATAATCATCCGTTTTAAAATATATCAGTCTGTGTGTAATGAATGAATCTAATATGCAAGTGTATCTTTTTGAATTGAATCACTGAAATAAGTCAACATTGTATTGATATTCTAATTTTATTTCACACACACACCAGGGCTGCAGCTATAGAATATTTTAGTATTCCAATAATCAATCGAATCATCCACAGATTAATCGAATATTCTATTTGATGACGTTTCAAGTGAGACGAGATTGTGGTCTGCTGCTAAAAATAGGAAAATGAAGTAAAAGGATCAGTAATATGTATTACATCGGTGTTGTCTAGTTCCCTCCTTCCCAGCTGATATTTATATGTACTTGTCAGAACCAGAACTTGGAGGACCCGTGATGACACCAAACACAGTAAAGCTCCTTTAAAAGTCTTTATTAGACGTGGCGTTACCCGAGGAGGGCGAGGCTGGAGACAGAGTCGGAGAGGAGGCGTGGGTCAAAAACCAGAACGAGGCGAAGCAGGTTAATGGAGCAGGCTAGAGAAGGGGTCAAAGACAGGCGAGGGTCGAGATGGCAGGCAGAGTCCTAGGGGTCAGGCATGAAAATGAGGTCCGGAGGCTCTGATCAGACAAGGTGAAAGGCTGGAAGATCTACTGGCAAAGAGCGTTCAATAATCTGGCAGGGAACTGCTGGCTGGCGGGTGAATATATAGCAGGGGGAGCAGGTGAGTGAGATGAGCTAATGACAAGGTGCAGGTGATGGTAATTAAGTGGCTGAGGGCTTGATAGAGGAGGCAGCAGAGGCAGAGGAAGGAGTAAGCCTGGGAGTCATGACAGTACTAAATATTTTCTGGAACTAAATGTAACTTATATGTCATTAAAATAATCGGTTTAATATCATTCTAGTCTAATCATATCTAAATAAATTCACATATGAACAGTAGAATTAAATTATTTCATTAACGTGTTCAGGAGTAAGCTGCTGGAAATGTTACTAACATTTCTAGTAGTAACTAAATTATGGTGGCATATCCATTTTATTATATACATAAATAATCCAGAAAATTGTATTCAAACATATAAGCGTTTATGATTTACATGCTACAACGGCTTGCCATATTCTGGGAACTGTCCTATCTCTTTGTTGGTTTCTCTATTTTCCTCCACGGCATCTAGATCGCCACATGATGTGCCGACAAAATGTGTTCAGCCTGTGGTGCGCACATTTAACGAAGCTTTGAATCAGTGAGTACGTTTACATGCAGCCAATATCCGGGTTATGATCGGGTTAAGGTCGGGATTCGGGTTTCTGAGTTGATCAGAATAACCCGTTTACAAGCATAAATAGAAAGAGTTACCCCTAACTTGCATAACCCGATTTAAATGCGGACGTTGGGGTAGCGTCAGGACGTATGGACTACGTCCAGACGCAATATGCGTCATTTCCGGTTCTTCCTGTTCCGGTATCCATGAAAACAACAACATGTTTCCCAGTTCGGAAGAGATAGCGACCGCGTTTGTTTGCCCTTTAGTTTCCTCGTCACTCAAAGTGTGGTGCTGTGCCGCGACTCGCCATGTTGCCCCCAACTTGTTGTTTACTTCCGGTGTTCTGGCGCATACAAGACGTCTCGCTGCTCAAAAGACCAAGATTCCTTGTGAACAGAGCATGCGCAGAACACACTCTTTGATGGGGATATCCCGACATGCGTTTACACGACCAAACATTCGGGTTAGAAAAGGGTTACCCCAGGTGTAGTAACCGGGTTTTTAAAAACCCGGTTATGAGCATATCCGGGTTTCTGGCGGTGTTTACAAGGACCTGCGGAACGGGGTTATTGTGAATATTCGGGTTTTAAAAGGGTTACTGGCTGCATGTAAACGCACTGAGTAAAATATGAATCGAGGAATTTAATAAATCGAACCATTCGACGATTCGTTTCAGCCCTAAAACACACACACACACCATTACTCACATCCATCACACTTATGAGGGTGCGAGCAGTGACGGAGCATCTGTGCCATCACTGGTGGGTTACTGCTGTGCTGCACAAATGCCAGAGTCTTTTAGTGAACGCCTCTCCCCTCGTGCTCCAAAGCTTAGCAGATGGGATTCATTCTGAAGTAAATGATTCCAGAGTCCCCGCAGGACCAGCTGGAGGCCTGAGGACACCTGCGACCACACACCTGGCTACCTGACCCAACAAGCCTTTCATAACATGTATTATAGGACAGCAGAAGCTCGGCAGGTACAGCAGGATGTCCAGTAACTGGAAGGTTGCGGGTCCGATCCCAGCTCCCACGAGAGAATGCTGCTGTTGTGTCCTTGGGCACGACACTTAACCCACCTTGTCTGCTGGTGGTGGTCAGAGGGGTCGGTGGCGCCTGTACTTGGCAGGCCTCGCCTGTCAGGGCAGCTGTAACTACACCATAGCTCATCCCCACCAGCGTGTGAATGACTGATTGTGTTGTAAAGTGCCTTGGGGGGTTGTAGAACCCTCAGAAGGCGCCATATTTATCTGAAGAAAAAAAACTGGAATGGGTTTTCAGACTTTTAGTGACCCAACTTTTACATACCATACACACATTATACATCAAACTCTTCTGCTACAGCTCCTCTCTCTCAGAATGTCAAAATATAACAAATCTGAGGTAAAGTGTTTGAGATATTTTAGTCTATTTGGCAAATCTTGTGAAGTAGACATTTGCCCTGTGTAGTGGACGTATGCTGTCCTCACAGAATCAGAATCAGAAGGGTCTTATTGCCACATGTCAGAGGAATCACAACACGAGGGATAAAATAAAACCCCTCTGATTCTCACGGCGTGTAGCTAAAGGTAAAGGGCTAACAAATGGCTAAAGCCAAAACAAAGTTTCTCACTCAAGGCTTGCTTTTCTTATCTGTAGATCTTTATAAATGTTTTATCACCATAGCTGCAATAAACAGAAAAACAAATACACGGTTAACTAAAACACACATCACAGCTTAGGGAGGATGCTGTTGGACACTACTTTTCCTGTTACTACCTTTAATTAAAGTACTGTAGCTGCCATTTTGCACTAAAACTTTTAAAAGTTTAGCATCATAGGAGAAATGGGATGTCAGTAACTTCAAATGTTTCTTCTGTTTTTCATAAGAGGCGGGCACAGCATGTATCAGTATCGGTTTGTAAGGAAATAGGAAAGTAAGAGTCAGACAATATGGGCACATTGGTAAAAAAGCCAATATTGAGCATCCCTGTTTAAATGATAAAGGCACATTTACATTTGAACCTTTTACAGTTTTAGCCACAGTCTGCTCCGAGTTTTTGGATTTCAGACAACGCTGAGGTGATTCTGACATAAAAAACAGAGATCAGGTGCTTCAGCACACTGGCACCCTGAATAACAACATGAAGAGTAAGCATAGAGGAT